GACGGAGCCCGGCTGCCAGGGCTGGGGGCAGCGCAGCAGGGAGGAGACGGCTCGGCTGTGGCCTGGGCAGGGGCATGGGCAGGGTGCTGACCACCGTGCCAGGCTGAGCTGTGGAGCCGTCTCTGTGACCCCCGGTGCCCATCCTGCCAGGCCGCCTGCATGGGGGCGGGCTAGGGGAGCAGGCTCTTGGCAGGTGCTTGAGGACGTGGGGCTCACCAGGGAGGGAGGGAAGGAAGGGGGAGTGCTGCTCAGACGGGGGAGGGGGTTTGCTTGGGTCACGGCAAACCATCTGACTGGCTTGTCTGTGGTTCCTGAATTCCCACGGACTTGTCCCGTTGTCTCTTTCAGAGCAGCAGCAGCAGCCGGCGCTGCCCGCAGGGGAGCAGAGCAGGTAACTCGACCGCGTCACTGGGTGCAGGCCAAGCTCCCCAGGAAATGTTGCACGCTCAGGAGCGGCCAGAGCACCCTGCTGCCTCCGGCCTGGAGGACTTTGTCTATAGCGAAGAGGACTTTGTTCTGCAGGGGGTTGGGTGGGGGAGAAGCAGGCCAGATGGGCTGGCAAGCCGCACCGTGTCCCGCTTCGACCACGCGTTGCAGTCTGGCTGGGAGCGCAGGATGAAGCAGGGCTTGTTCCGGTATCCCCTGGGGGAGCTGCAGACCCGCATCTTGCCTGGCGAGATGCACTTTGTGGCCCAGCTGAACATCCAGAGGGGACTGGAGCGGAGGAAGCCACAGGACATCCAGAGCGTGAGGCAGAGGTTTGACCCCCAGCAATTCCACTTCAGTAAGATCAAGCCAGGGGAGATCCTCTTCTGCCTGACCAGGAGCCACAGTCCCCACGTGCCAGCGGGGGGGCAGGCTCCAGCGCAGGATGGTGCTGAGCCCAGGCTCCCAGAGACGCCTAACCGTGTCCTGGTGGTGATTAATGTCAGTCCCCTGGAATTTGGGCACGTGCTCCTTATTCCAGACCCCATGCTCTGCCTGCCTCAGGTTCTCACCCAGGAGCTGCTCCACTTTGGACTGGAAGCTGTTCTCCTCAGCACTCACCCAGGTTTCCGTGTAGGCTTCAACAGCCTGGGAGCCTTGGCCTCTGTCAACCACTTGCACCTGCACGGCTTCTACCTGGACTGGGAGCTCCTAATTGAGTCGGCCCCGAGCAAGCCCCTGTGCCCTGCTCTCAACTTCCACCTGCTGCAGGGCGTGCCAGCCCCGGGGTTCCTGTTTTACGACGAGGGGCGAGGGCTGGGGGTCTTGGCACGTGCTGTCTGCCGAGTCACCGACTACCTGGTGGAGAACGAGATTGCACACAATGTGTTTGTGACGCGGGGAACTGCCCCTGGGGAGCCAGCCCGCTCGGCAGCCCGATCTGGAGTTCGGGTGGTCGTCTGGGCCAGGAAGTCCTGCTTTGGGGCCAAGGAGGAAGCGGCATTTAACGTAGCCCTCTGTGAGCTGGCAGGGCATCTGCCAGTCAAAACCGCCCAGGACTTCCAGAGCCTGACGGAGAGCTCGGCCCTGCACACCATCCAGAAATACCTCCTCCCGGCGCCTCAACTCTCCTGGCTCCAGGACGAGCTGGTGACGCTGCTCACGGGCTAACTGCCAGGGGGGGCTCATCCCTCAGCCGCGCGGGGCCTGACTCACCCAGCCCAGCCCAGCCAGAGTGCTCTGTAACTCCTGTGGAAGGGGGGGGGCTTGGGTGCTGCAGCCTGCAGGGAGGGAGCGGGTCTCTGCACAACTCCAGCCTCTTGCTATTATTATTTTTTAAGGAAAAACAGTCCCAAAATCAAGCCAGCCAAATTAATTCCAAGTCCGTGTGATTCATTCAAGAACCGCACGTGGCCCCGTGTCCCAGG